AATCCTCAAGGCACTTTTATGGTTATAGGTACTAACGGAGTATAAGGTGGCCGGCCCGTTCACCAGATTTGATCCCAGTGCATTTTTATCTATGAGGTCATTTAAAAAAAACACCATATCAGAACCCTATAGAAGACATGGCAGATTTGCATAATAAAATTTATGCAGTTATGGCGGCTTTAGATCGTAACACTTTGTTAAAAGCCTGTAATGTCGAACTAACGAGAAGACTAACATTGTGTATTAATGATGAAGTCGTAATTTTGAACATTTATTATAATCTTTGTTTTCACTTACTTCAGTAACTACATCTACACCTCCGTTATTATCTTAAATACTTTCTGTTATTTTTTCTATAGTCGATCATTTGTTTTTTTATATTTTATTGTTTGTTAGTTAGTATGTGGTGTGAATAAGTCCATTTATACCAATATTTTAAAAGAATATTCTGTCTCAGTGTGATTTAAATAAAATAATAGATTTTCCTGTTACATCGTACATTGCATCTTGAAGTCGACATGTCTCGAAAACAAGTAAATATTGGGAAAAACTTTATATTACAAAAATTACTTAAAATTTAATGATCTTTTAGATGGACCGCATTTCCACGTTACAGGAATCAATTTTTTAATATCGCTACACCATCTATACAGAAAGATTTGAACTAACAATTCTAACTGCAACTTGAAGATATTCGAGGGACCTAACAACCTTAATTTCCGGAATTAAAATAAATTTCTTCATTTCGGAGATATTGGCAGCGGGAGTGTAAAATGGCACACCCTGTATATGCTCTTAGCCGTATAGAATGATTTATGACAAAAAAGAAGTGTAGATAATCTCGTAATAACCCGAGATACAAATATTTTAGTTTTTGAACCCTTATTTTGGGGGTGTTTCGGAGGTGGAGTACTGAGTTCAATTCCACATACATATTATGAATACTCAAATTTATCCAAACCGGATAAATAATACAAGAATGGATAATAATAATTTTCAAAAGTACTTGTTTCCATTTTCAGTTTTTTTATTTATTTATACTGCATATATACAGACAAAGGGACAGTCCAATTACATGTATACAGTTGAGAAATGTTAGCTAATATAAAAACCAATTAAAAATAATGTATAAACAACCAGACACACGCAAAATACAATGTAAAAGAGAACAAAGAAAGCAAACAAAAAAATGTCAATTAAAATGTACATAAAACACCCAATCGTATATGTATCATAAGTATGAGAGTAGCTTAGTCCGACTAATATTAAAAATATCAGTATCGTAAGTTCTTAACAAATTATTCATCGTACACAGACACTGTTCTAGGGGTGAATTAATATTAAATATTTTAAAAACTCTGTATCTAGTTCGCATTCTCATATCGGGTACATTAATATTAATAGATGCCAACAAATCTGGAACAACAATCTGACTATGTAAAATATTATAAGCGAATAAAATCTGAGCCTTTTCCCTTCTCCTATCCAAAGAGGTTACACCAAACTCTGCTTGTTGATGTTCATATGATACCATGAACGGGTACACTCCATACTCTTTAACATATATTGACCTTAAAAGCTTCTTCTGTATTTTCTCTATTGTGTCCTTGTTACTGTTAGCTTGTGGGTTCCAAATCACACTGCAATACTCCAATTTTGATCTTACAAATGTATTGAATAGCCTTATAACCGTGTTAGATTTAAACTCTTGGCTAGTCATAAGATCAAAACCGAGCTTCCTGTAACATTCAGCTGTTAAACTTGTAATATGTTCATTAAATTTAAAATTTTTGCTAAAAATTACACCTAGGTCCCTGATTCTATTCAGGGGCTCTATCTCAATACTATTCACCATATACACGGTGTCCCGAAATTCATGCAACAAAATTTTGTCATAGATTCTTAAGACAAATTTAGGGGACCCGTATTTTTTCTTTTTGCCAACTGGCTCTTTCGGAGTTACAGTCCCCTGAAATCTGCCCCTAAGAAGTCTTGTAACCTGAGGGGTTATTTCTTTATTTATCTATCTTTCGTTATGACCAGTATCATAACGAGTCTGAATTTCAAAAGAGTTGCTATTTAATTCTCGAAAGGGAGTTTATTAAATACGGGACGGATTACTCAATCTCAATTAATCTACTCTTATAGCTTCGCCAAAAAAACCAACTAATTTATATCCTTTTCCTTTTCACTTATTATCCGTTTAACAATATAATTTAATTCTATTTTGGGAATCTCTACCCTCTTCTCGTGGTTTCGCGCGTTATTATTAAAAATATCGGTTTCTCTCTTGTACTAGACGCTTAACACATGGCCCCGACAGTTTAAGTGAACTTGTTAAAAATATTGCTAAATTTCGGGTGGCCTTCCCCGAAGGACGGTCTTGGCGACGTTACCTACTTGATGCCCTCAACTTTCGATAATTTGTGTCGACTGGAATATTGTATTTGGCCCATCGTTCCGAGAACTAATAAATAAATGACTACGCGTCCTGGCTTTTGTTACAGTCTTTTTTATATCTCAAAACCATGTTGTACGAGAAAAACTAAATTTGGTACACAGGGGTTTTATGACATGCGGAATCTCACAGTGCTATGCTTTTTGGCGAGAAACCCCCTTAATACACTTTTTCGTAGGCCCCCTTGTCGAAAGATTTGGTCGCAAATTTGATTTTTTTTTTTTAATTATTAGATAGCTAGAAAGCCATTGAATTTAGTAACTTTTTTGTCTCTTGATATTTGTTTTGTAAAACATGGAAAATGGCGAATCACGATATGCATTCTATCACATTTTGACATTTTTCTCGAAAACATCGCGTTTTACGAAAAAAGTATAAAGAGACAAAAAGTTTTTAAATTTAATGGCTTTCTAGTGGACTTATAATTTTTAAGAAATTTAAATATGCGACCAAATTTTTTTGGCTCCAAAAACAAGGGGACCCACGAAAAATTGTCTTAAGGGGGTTCCCCGCCAAAAAACGTTGCACCATCAGATTCCACATGTCATAAAACCCCTGTGTACCAAATTTAGTGATTCTCGTACAACAGGGTTCTGATATAAAAAAAAGATTATTCTTGGGGGCGGACTTCAGGGGGCTGTAACTCCGAAAACGGGGGCCACTTGACAAAAATAAAATATACGTGTCCCCTAAATTTGTCCTAAGAATCTGTGACCAAATTTTGTAGCATGAATTTCGGGACACCCTGTATACTCCCAATATAGGGTATTTCTTCCGTGTATATGATACCAGTTTACATTTTGCCTCATTTAAAGCTAGGTCGTTATGTTTACAAAACTCGGACACAAAAGTTTCAGATTCTGCACTGTTAAATTTCACAAAATTTATCCGATAATAATTTATCCCAGTCAGAGTTCAATTTCCATAATAGGATATTATGGTTGACTCTGTCAAAGGCCTTCGCCAAGTCGGTATAAACCAAGGATATTTAAATATCCTTGGGTATAAACAATATCAATTTGGGAATTATATAATTTTCTGTAATGTAGGCACTGAACGTACAGAAATTAGTAGCGGTAGATCTTCTCTTTAAAAAGCCGTTGTTCTTCTGACAATATGTGTGTCACATGTGTATATATCCTATTATATATTACCCGTTCAACTATTTTGGATTGCATTGGACAGGTTCATGGAAATATTCCATTTTTTGAGACTTTGCGGCCTCGATATCTCGAAAACTGTTAGTACTATATTTTCTATGACACTGGACCAGTGTTGTGTGTTGTGAACTGCTTTGAACTAAATTGTTGTAAGATGGCGCACAAATTATCGTACATTATCGTATAATTTCGCCGAGTGACGACAATACAGTCGAATCCACAAAACTATGTGGTATTTGGAATGCACAGTAGCAGCGTACAATCTATTCAATTGGGGTTTATCGTTTATTAATTAAAAAACTAACCTTTTCTTGCTGATAGCCATCCTTTGAAATCCAGCAAAGTTTTCCACTCTACCCTATAATTCTGTTCGCGACGTTTTTGTTGCTTAGATGTAGAACTTTCTCCCCGTTTTTGGTTTTTATATTCAAGCGTACGACACCGTGTTTCTTCTTCCCAACTCGCCATTATTCCATGGCTAGAAATTGGCCTCAATGATTTGGGATCGAGGGGGATTATCCCTCTTTATCCTGCCTCATCTCGTGTAGGCCTGGACAGTCTTCGTAGGTGGGCCCCATCCGTCGTCTACCCCGACCGCAAATGCGGCCGGTGTAGGCGCTTTGTGGGACCTCCTTTTGTCCTGGCTGGGCCCCGCCGGCTAGGGCCCTTTCTTCTGGCGCTCTTCTTGCTTCGCCGGCTCGTCTGTGTAAACCCCGGGGGTGGTGTCATGTCTATGTGTGGTATGGTTGGACAGGGCAGTGCGGCTATGCAGCCTGGGATGCGCTTTACTAAGGTAGCCCTTAGGCTAGCGCGGAAGGGGTGGAGATAAGAAGGGTGTGGGGGTGTGTCGTTGTCTTCGTTTCTTGATCCTGGCGGTCTCTGAAACAGAAAAGGTTAGCGGGCAAAGGGGGGGGGGGGATGTCGTTATGGTGATCACCCAGGGTCAAAAAGTTGGTGTCTAGGTCTTTGGTCATTTTTGTTTGTCGTTCACGTCGGGTACGTAGTCAACGGCCTGCCTGAGGAGGGGATTGTCATGTCTAGCAAATGTAGCACCATGAACACATTTACTGGTCTGAATTGTTAGTACTTATTGTACACATTTTTAATTCGGACCGGTCAAATTTGGTTCCATAGGTAATGCGCATAATGCGTAATTGCGTAATTTGGACCTTAGCCCTAGTTTACAAGGTCTATTACTATAATTTGCAATTACAGTTTACTCGGTTAAAGAAATTAAAACAACCTTTATTCAAGAATATAAAATAAATTTAATATATTTAATGTATAGCTTGAAACTAATTTGAATTTAATAATTTACTAGGCTAAATCAAGTTTTGTTTTTGTTGGTAAAATTAAATTTTTTTCTCTCTATTTTCCTCCAGCTTGTGAATTACTAGCATCGGATAACGTGGATATGGATCATCCAGATGCAAAGTATTTCTATAATTTGGGTCAATCTGTTAATCCACAAGATCCGGCTGTATTTAGTTTGCGGGTGCGTTTGATATTTTCTAAAAATGACGATCCCATTGAAGTCTCTAAACTGCTATTAAAGGAGCTTGAAACCAGACCAACTGATGTGAACTTAAGGGTTCGGCTACTTAAACACTTTCTACAAAACAACCTGATTAAAGAAGCATACAAACATGCATCTGCCATCGAGGAAAAAAATTTGTCTATTTTTCATAACGACTTAACTTGGTATGAGACATTTGCCGAAGTTCTCGTGAGGTTTGAAAGTGACCTTATATGTAGTTCTCAGCTCACTTGGGAGGTTTGGTTCCTGTCCGTATCTGTGCAGGATAGATTGGTAGCCCTGAGTTTGGATGAACACTTAGACACTGTAAAAACTAGTACCGAATATGTAACTGCAGTTTTCAATTTCGATCAAATGCTGTATAAAGCCTCGCAAAATATTCAGACCTGTCCAGATGATGAATTAGTAACAGTATTTTTGAGCCATTATCATGCGCAGTTATATTTCTATCTAGCCACGCTCATTTTTAAACAAGCTAAAAAGGATCTAATTCAGTTCAAAGAGGCTTCCAACGTAACCCTTCCCGTTTTGTTAGCGGCTTACCATTCCTCTCCCCCCGATTTGCAGAGTATTCGGCAGGCAGAATCTCCAGAAAGTAGGAGACGGCTTGTACAACACTGGCACAAAGAAGCCTCTTATCGTTGCTCACAAACGGGACACATCCTTCTAGCGGCTGCTAAGGATAGAAAGACTATCGTATTAGAAAAGGCAACACAGTATTCAACGGGAATGTGGCGGGAACAACTCTACAAGAAGGTGTTTGTGAAAAGAGATCAACAACTCAAAATATCGACAAGTTTTTTCGTTTCAAGCTTTCAAGTCTTAGAGCCAGTTATAAAATTGCCTGATCCTCTAGATTTAGTAAAATTCGATGAAGTTGCTCAGCTAGTATATCCCGACTCTCTACACCACTACATTTGGCTTGGTCTAAATAGTAAGTTAAGCGACATGGAGGTGAAATCTTTCGAAGGCCTGCAGTATTCCATAAAAAATTTGAACAATTGTGCTGCTGAGGAACTAAACGTTCTGGATATTCAGTCGTTCCTTTATTGTGCTATTCTCTGTGCCAAGTCCAAAATGGAGGATACTAAAAATTTGATTTATTACAACCATGATAGGCCTACTGTTTTACCAGTCTGTGTGACGGACCATTTAGGCACTTTAAACCAGTGGATGTTTGTATCGGCCGCTTATAATATGTACAAAAATGAACCAGGAGCTAATATGGCAAGCATTCATTTGTTACTAATTAGAGGCATCAAAATGGTGAGGTGTATAGATTGTCACGGCTTGGATGTTAGAGTATTGGTGACTTTGGCGAAAATATTTGAAGAGCGTTCGAAAAAACTTACCAAACAGTCGGAAATCGAATTTAATGATGCTAGAGCTGAAATGTACTGGAAAACTGCCTTGCCGTTTTTGGAGAAAGTGAAAAATAATCAGATGATTACGTATTCTAATAACAGACTGTTTGAATATAAAGGGAAAGATATATCTATTTCCGAGGCATCATCTTACATTGAAAGTGGGAAGTTGTTCACAGCTATACAGCTGATGAAGAAGAAGGAATATGAAAAAGCGTTACATATCTTCGAACAACTGAAAGATCCTTACGCTAGTTTTTACCAGTCAGAAATTTATAAACACATGGCTGATCAAAAAACCAACCAGAACAAAGAAAATGTTACATCGGAAATGAGGAGCCAAAATATTATCTTACTCTCGAGAGCCAGGGACTGCCTATACCTCACTCTGGACAGACTTCGTGAACCGTCAGTAGACAGAACACATCCCTTAAACTCTCAACTTGGTACTGAAATCGAGAAGATAGAAAGACTTATGTCCCGCATTGATTCAAACTGTACGAACTGCAATGAACGTGACGGAATGGCTGAGGAGAACTCGTCCTCTGACAACAAGGAGAACTCGTCCTCTGACAACAAGGAGAACTCGTCCTCTGACAACAGCGCAGGAGATCATTATTTAACGACTTATACAACTCACACCAGTTTTTATGACGTACCTTATACCCCAAAACATGATCCCATTTCGAGTATTTCAAGAAAAGAGATAAGCCAAATGCTCGACGAAAAGTTAGCAGCGGCTAATGCTAGCATGGACTCCGTTCTAAATCAAATTCTTAGCGTCCAGAAGAATCTTGTGGAGGTATGTTATCTGTAGCCTTCTAATAAATTTTTTTAGTTGTTTTAGTTGTTTTTAGTTCTTGGGTTACTGGGATAAATAAAAATCTTACACTGTATTGATTTATAATAAAACATCAAATAGCATAAATCATTTTTTTTATTATCCTTATAGGTAACTGAGGAATTTGTCAATTTGATTTATTTTTTTTATCCAGGACATGCAGATCGTGAAGAATGAAATAAATGAGTTAAAAACTCACAGAAAAAACATTCTGTTGAGTGACGAGGATCTCCTCTTTGACTCAAATATTAATTTCAACATTGGAGCATATAATATGAACTCGCCTAGCGTTTCTTCCAATAATGAACCAGGAAGGATCAGAAATGCCAGTAACTTAGCAGCTGCTTATGGAGGACTAGGTTTACCACCACAATCAGGTATTTTTTTATGATTATAATATTGAATTTCAAATGCTACTTTATTTCTTTACTAATTTTCGTTCATAATTTAACAGAAACAACCCCAAAAATTTGATTTAAAAAAGTTATCTTTGACGCTCTATACCTCAAAAATGAAAGACGCTAGAATTTATGGCACTTTTTTCCCAAAACATCCTGTATATCAAATGCATAAATTACTGAATTTCTTACAGATGCACTTCCATTTGTGCCCGACCAACAGCTACCGTCGACTTCAGCTTCCGTCGCTGCTAGCTACGCCCAACCAATTTTAGGTCGGCCATTTCTCACTCAGGGCTTGCCATCTAGCTTCCAGAAGAAGGATGAGAATATTTTGGAGGTATGTTATCTGTATCCTTCTAATTAATTTTTTTAGTTGTTTTTAGTTCTTCGGTTACTGGGATAAATAAAAATCTTATACTGTATTGATTTATATAAAACATCAAATAGCATAAATCATTTTTTTTATTATCCTTATAACTGAGGAATTTGTCAATTTGATTTATTTTTTCTATCCAGGACATGCAGGTCGTGAAGAAAGAAATCAGTGAGTTAAAAACTCACACAAAAAACAATCTGTTGAGTGACGAGGATCCAAATGTCCTTGACCCTGACTGTGGGGTAGATTATAATATTAATTCCAACATTGGAGCATATAATACGAACTTGCCTAGCGTTTGTCCCAATTATCAACCAGGAAAGATCGGAAATGCCAGTAACTTAGCAGCTGCTTATGGAGGACTAGGTTTACCACCACAATCAGGTATTTTTTTATGATTATAATATTGAATTTCAAATGCTACTTTATTTCTTTACTAATTTTCGTTCATAACAGAAACAACCCCAAAAATTTGATTTAAAAAAGTTATCTTTGAAGCTCTATACCTCAAAAATGAAAGACGCTAGAATTTATGGCACTTTTTTCCCAAAACATCCTGTATATCAAATGCATAAATTACTGAATTTCTTACAGATGCACTTCCATTTGTGCCCGACCAACAGCTACCGTCGACTTCAGCTTCCGTCGCTGCTAGCTACGCCCAACCAATTTTAGGTCGGCCATTTCTCACTCAGGGCTTGCCATCTACAAGTTTGGGCATCGGAATGCTCACAGAGCACACAGTCCCTCACATCACTCAACTGATAAAGGAATCCTCCAAGGCTGTACCCGTCAGCACCACCCAAAGCCTCTTCCCTTCGTCGCACTCCTCTTCTACTACAGCAACAATAAATAAAGCAGCGCCAGTAAACGTCGTGATAACCAATTCGAATCCACTACCTACAACCAGCACACTTACTTCGCAACCAGTTCTGTCGGTTACCATACCGCCGCAGCATATAAAGAGCAACATTGCCAAATCTCAGCCTCATAATTATCAGATTCCTCTACCGTCTACAGCCGTGACTGCGATAGCCTCTACTCCGTCCGTTTTGAGTAAATCGCCTCCTGCTATATCTACGCAGAGTTTGTTGTCTAACGTGTCGCCACTGGTATTTTCTGCGGTGGCTCAAACAAAGAGCCCGTCTAATGTGAGTCTGGGTCTTCAGTTCGATCAAACTTTTAATCCTGAGAAGAATTCAACTTTCATCGACAATCGTGTCGAGCAAGCTGCATTCAAGACATCCGAAAAGGACGAGAAGTTCCATGAAAGTTTCGAACCCCGTAAGAAATCATATCAAGATCGTGCTAAGAAATCATCCCATCCTGCTATTAAAAAAAGCACAAAAAAAAAGTCAGCAACTAGTGAGCATGAGGGTGTAAGATCAAGACCACATACACGGTCCCAGGGCCATACTGAAAATGCCAGTAATGGTAAGTCCATTGAATGTAATTCCAGTAAAAACTAGTAATTCTTACAGAAAAATCGTGAAATTACATACTGTGTTTATTATAAACACCTCATAAACTTATTAATTGAAAATTAAAATAAATATAAAATTAATTGCCGATATATTTGGACATTCTTGTGTTTGTTAGTTACCCCCTTTTGCCTTGTCATCAGTGGCGATTCGTTAGTGGAGGCAGGGGGGGGCTAAGCCTCCTCTGCAGTTTTTGATAGTATTGCAAAAGTTTTCTTTTAGTTTTTTTTTAATTTTACATCATAAATATACCTAATTAATGTTATTTAAGAAATTTTCGTCGGCGTCAACTTAAAGTCGCTACCGTCCAAGCAATTCTCTACAAATTCATAGTGTGCATTGACATTACATAGCGGTTCGTTATTAATTTAAAGGAGGATGGATTTACTAGAAAGAGCTACATAGTCTATTCTAAGTAATTGCACTATTCGGAATCTCCTGAAAATAAGTACCTACTTAGGTTTGCTATCAGTTTTTTTCTTCAGCCACTCATTTTAATAGCTTTGAGACATTGAAATTTTTACTGGATTGTTTACCCTTTCGATAATCCGTATAGATAGAAAATCAACCAATAATTAGTACCAATTGATTAATTATGGCAAATAATATTTATACCAACGACGAATATGTCCAAGTGTTTTCCAAATCCAGAAAAAATAGTAACGCTGCAGTAAGATTATACCACCAATGATATCCAAACCGACCGATTCCTCATAGACAAACATTGGCCTCGGTGGAAAAAAGGCTTCGTGAAACTGGTAAAATTCAGCCCAATTGTGAGGGTGCCGGAAGAAGGCGTAATGTCCGAACTGTTGAAACTGAGGAAGCTATACTGGAACATCTAGAACAAGACTGTGGTACANGAAAAAAGGCTTCGTGAAACTGGTAAAATTCAGCCCAATTGTGAGGGTGCCGGAAGAAGGCGTAATGTCCGAACTGTTGAAACTGAGGAAGCTATACTGGAACATCTAGAACAAGACTGTGGTACAAGCACAAGACAAATGTCCAAGCAACTGCAAGTTTCTCACAGTCTTGTGTGGAATGTAGCTCATGAAAATCTTTTATACCCTATTCACCATCAACCCCTGCAAAAATTATGATCCTGAATTACCTCACCGCGTGGATTTTTGTCAATGGTACGGTACATTAATATTTCCAGGCATGACTTAAATTTCCTAATGAATATACTTTTCACCGATGAGGCAAATTTGTCCTAGAATAGGTGCAGTAAACCTTCATAATGTTCATTCATGGTCAGAAGAAAATCTCATGAAATATTTGTTTCACGATGTCAACATAATTTCAGTTTAAACGTTTGTATGGGAATTGTAGGAAATACTCTAATAGGTCTTTTGATTCTTCCATACAGGCTTGGAGCGGCCGAGTATCTTAGATTTTTAAACGAAAATCTTCCAACATTACTTGAGGATGTACCCTCGCTACACGTCAGGTGATGTGGTATATGCACGATGGGGCGCCTGCACATAGTACACTTGCCGTTAGATAATGGTTAAATTTAAATTACCCGAATTGCTGGATTGGTCGTGATTGTGATGCCCCTGTTTGTCGCCTGGGCGTTCACCTGACCTAATGGCTATGGATTTCTTTATGTGGGAACACAAAAAGTATTGTTTATGCCACCCCTGTTGCCTCCTTAGAACTACCCTTAAGAATATTTTAGGCAGCAGATGACCTTCGCAATAACCAAGAACTGTTTGTGGGAGTGCTTTATAACTTCAAAAGACGTATTAGGTTATGCTTGCGGCAAAATGGAAATTATTTCGAGAATATTCTTTAAATTTAATTTTGCATTTCTTGTTTTTCGTTTGTATTAAATTTTATTTCAGATAAATAATTTACCTAATATGTACATGTCCCATAGACATAAGTTATCAAACATTTTTCATTAATTAATAGCAAATTATTCTTAATGTTATTATTAAATTACCAGCTTATTGACAGAAAGTGTCAATTTATTAATATGATAAATAACAATTTATTTGTTATGACATCCCCCTACTTTATTTTCACAAATTTTCACAATTACCTACCCCTTTAGTGAACGATGATGATTTTTTTACTAGAAAACTATCGGTTTCATCGAAAAATTACAAGAGGCAAAAAAGTTGCGCAATAAATCAGTCTTCCCAATAAATATTTTTAAATAAATGATTTGCGTCATATAAAAAATTTCTAATCAAATATTGCAATGGAGTTGACTGTTTCACTCCTTTATAAAACACGCCAATGATCGAAAAAATATTGAAAAGTTGTCTCTTTATTAGTAGGATGCTCATACCAAGTTTCGTGTCTCTAGCATTCCCCATGTTAAAAAAAGTATTAAAACGTGAATTTCAATCCCCTCCTTTAAGAGGGTATATTGCCTCAGGGGTGCAACTTTCATATCAGGTATTCTTACTTCAATCCTCTTATTTTTGGCTCTACATTCACTGGTACCATTTTTGCTAATTTATTTAGAAACACCCTGTATATCAATGTATTCGCAATGGTTCCCGCTAATGAGTGAGATAATTTTCAAAGCTTAGGTACCTATGTCATTCTTTTTCAAATCATTATTTTTCGTTTAACGGACTTATCAGTTAATTTTAATCTTTATAAATAAATAATTTTTCAATAGCAGAAATTAATAAAGGCTAATTCTACTACCAGTAAGAAAACAACAACAATTTATGCTTCCACGTATTAGAAACCGTAATAAAAGTGAGTCTTAAGTATGGCTAATTTTTTAAAAGTATGTAATAAGATTTTGTAATGCTTAAGTAGTTCGAAAATATAACGTATAAAAAACAATAATATGTACTAATTTTTCTTTATTAAGAATAAAGATTAAATTTTATGTACAGGGTGTCCCACATAAAATTTTGGCAAAAAATCTTTGAACACATCGATTTTATTTGATAAAAATACACATTTTAACATGAAACTCAATATTCAATCATTTGTTTTTGAGTAATGACATCATCAACTTTTTTTTTAATGGCAACCCCCTATTTATTTTCTTGATTTTGAGAGATATTTTTATTGTCGAAAGCTTTTACTGAATTTACTCCATACTTTAGGCGCACACTGTATAATACTAAATAAATAAATAAATAAATAAATTACTGCAATGCGGTAATGATTTTGATATAATAAAAGTAAAATAATGAAAGACAGGTTTTTATGGGCTTTTGGTAGGTACCTGATAATAATAGTCGTGTGTCTCCTTTAACTGTATTTTATTATTTTCATCGATACAAAGGCAAACTACTTCTTTTTTTTTCCACAGTCTATCTTAAATCTTTGCCTGAGCTGGCAATTTCTTCTTCACTAATCAGACTTAGTAAAATATTAATGTCTTTTAATTCACCGACATAAATGATGTTCAAAAAATAAAATGCGATTTGGCAACTTTCTGTCTATTTATTACTCATAATAATTTTTGATGAATCGGTATCGTGCTGATTTAAATAGGTACTTATATTAAACCATAATAAGATAAGATTATATTTTGGATAAAATGGAAATTTTTTATGATTTTTGAAATAAATAATATGTTCGAGTCAAAATTGATAAATTATAGATATTTTAGTTACCATCTGGGGACGCTCCAAAAAAAACATGAGATACATCCACGAATATTCCTGAAGGTCATACTTTCTTTTTTCGTAATTTCTTCAAATTTGCTTTTTGCTGTGCTTTCATTAGTCTTTCCAAAGGTGGTAGCTGGAGTGGCAATAGATTTTGTTATTATTTGTTTGCAATGTGTACTAAGTCTCCTTTTTACAACCGTCCCAAAATGTGAGGCCGTAAGGCGATGCATCCTTTCAGATATATACAGTGAATTTTCGAATTGACCCACTGTCTTTTCCTGTATTTCAATTTGATTTTCTTTTGTTGCCTGAAACAGCGAGTACATTTTTTTATTTTTTTTTGCCGAGACAATGCATTATTTTTAACTAGGTATGTATAACTGTTTATAAAATATTTGGAAAATGTATTAGTTTGGTGGAATGTTAAAAAGAAATAGGAATGGCATTACAGGAAATTTTACTGTTATCAACAAAATATTGATTTTTTTCAACTAAATACCAAAGACTTACCTTATATATTTATTATACTTATACCTTACATAAGTAAAACTCTTTTATCAAGGGTAATTTTCAGAGAAAGTAATAATAATATTGTATAGAAGTACTGCTTAAAATGTTTTTTTTAACTATGCCAAAAATAAAATGCTTTAATTTATAAAGATATGAAAAAATGGAAAGAATTAGTGGGATATCCCACGTTACAAACTATATAATAATCAAATGTGCATTATTCAACAATCAGATATGGAGTTCAAGTTAATAATTCAAATTATAGGATCTATTAATTTTTATGCACTTATTTTCAAAATAATAATGCACTTGAAGTGTTTTCAGGATCAATGGTACAACTAAACACCACGATATAACAATACAAATATGTCATTTGCATTTTATTCACCGAGTTTTATGTAAAATATATTCTTCGAGAAATCAAAAATAAAAATATTCTCGTTGCATACTTTAAACACAATCTTATACTTTATGGTGTAAAGAATGAAAATTGTCTTGCATTTAAAATTACATATTATTATTATACAGTGTGGAAAAAAGTTTGGAACACCTGAAATATCTCGCAAAATATTGTTTTCCTGCAAAAATGCTCGAAGGGGTCAAAAAGTATTTTAAATTTGCCATCTTTTGCATACATTAGATCGATGTACAATATGTACAGTGTATGTTTGCAGAGTCAAAGGGTGCAATTTTTTGTAAATGGCAACCCTTTTTTTTTAGATACAGTGAAAGAGCATATTTCTCACGAGTATTGTAGTATAAAAATTGTATTAAGTTGCATAAAATTTTGAGAAAAATGTAAATAAAATTTTCATTCTGAAAATTGATTTGTGCAATATGTTGCCAAGAAGGTGATGAAACAAATTTTATTTAAAATCAGTTACATTGAGAGACTTTTTGGTAAAATTGATGCTTATGATTTTCTGTTTTCTAAAGTCAAAAAATCTTACTAATGTATTTTTACAGCCTTCGTGTGGGATAAATTAATTACATCATTTCGAGAACATATTTTATTTCCGTTTTTATTTACATACGTTTCCAAGACTTCTAAAACTTTGTATCTAGATTGATATCAAAAACACAATCTTAATAATACTATTATATCCTTGGATACTCAACAATAACATTCGGCGACTACAGAGTGAACGCAAGCATGCCCGTAACATGTATCTATCAGAAAAATATCACATTATAAATACAACTTACAAAAAATTTTATACTACAATACTCAGAAAAATGTGTTCTTTCATTTTCTAGAAAAAAAGTAAAAATAGGGGTTGCCATTTAAAAAAAAATTGTCCCCTTTGACCCTACAAACATACTGTACATAGATCTAAAGTATTTAAAAGATGGCGAATTTAAAATACTTTTTGACCCCTTCAAGCATTTTTGCAGGAAAGCAATATTTTGCAAGATATTTCAGGTTCCAGACTTTTTTCCACACTTATATTAATTACTGTTATTATTATTATTATTATATTTTATTATCTTACAAAAACCTGAACTATAAATTCAAAGTTCAAAATCTGACATTGACCAGCAGAACTATAACTATCAACTTTTGTAAACATGAAATATGCATACACGTACTAATAATTAATATTCAAACAGTACTGTACCTGTAACCTGTTACATAAATTTTCAACTTCTCTTTGTAAATCATCATCAGAGGGCCTTTCGATTTGGCAAAAATAGTAGCTATTAGTAGCTAATAGGAACTTAAGAGTTACTCTGAACTGATATTAGTTGCTAATAGGTACTATTTTTGCCAAAACGAAAGCCCCCCAGGTAAATCTACTTCAGCAATATTTGGCCCATAATCTGTTTGCTTTTGATTTGCAGAAAAATCGAGTTTCTTCGCAGCTTTTATCTTTTTGGGAGCATGTTCCTTTTTATATTTAACTTTCTTTTGCTGGGTATTCATAAATTTTTGTAAAGTGGCGGTTTTACCATAAGAGCTGCGGAGCTGCAGAACACATAAAATTTTATGTATTTAATCATATTAAATATCAACAAAATATTTAAAGAATCCAAATGCACTCGCGCTAAAATAAATCTAGGAGCTTATATTATTATTTATTACGACGCCAGCTGCTCCTTAATATATCATATACAAAATGTGTGCAAAATGTATACAAAATTTGTTTTTATTGGCTAATTAGGCACCAGGCCCGGATCCAGAGACTGGTTTTGGGGGTGGCGCAAAGCAGTTCTTTCAGAGGAGCTTGACACTAATGAATCCTTCTACTTGCATTAATATCGACTAACTGCCTGTTGTCGTTTGGAGAAATTGAAGATCTTTAAAAAATGTTGTGCTTTGGGGGTGGCGATCGCCACATCGCCACCCCCTCTGGATCCGGGCCTG